CCAGGAGTTCCTATCATCAATCATTTTGTCATTTTGTAGCCATATGGCTCCTACAACTTATCAACCCGCCCACCAACAAAATATTTTGTTGATGAATTTTGTACCCAAATACGTACAATGTAACCACAAGACACTCTGCATGTGCACTGATATCTTCCTCTCCAGGCTGATGTCAATACATCGTGGTAAGCCTAATGCCAGGCCATCTTCGCGTCATAGTTTTTACTGAAATTGTCTCGTCTGTTTTGCTGCCAGTCCTTCTGATTTCAAGGTGAGTAATACTTCCATAAATAAGTTTATTTTACCTGCTTCAATAACGTATACAGCATTCTAATGTGTGGCCTATGTATTTTGTGCACTGGACAGAATTATTTATGTGTAGCCATATGGCAACAGTGTAACTTATAGTTATGTATAGACTGTAACATTTGGTAACATTGTGCAACAAAGTACTGTAAAGTACTATACAGTTTTATAAGGTATTAAATAATAAATAACATGTTTTTGACATTTTCAGAATTGGATCATGTCATTTGCTGCTCACACCTTTTATGGAAGACGCGCTAAGGCAGTAGTGCCTGTTTCTGGTGACACATCTGTGGACGAAGATGTCACAGATAGTGAGAACGAGGATGAATTTCAACCTGAAACAGCCAATGAGGATACTTCATCTGACGACGATGGTGATAATAATGATGATGAAGTAGAACATGATGGTGATTATAATGATGATGAAGTAGGACATGGTGGTGATAAACATACGGGTTCCAGTAGAAGCCCCGAATATTATTAAAGCTTACAACAAACATATGGGTGATATGGCCACCACCCTATACAGAACCCCTCTCCGAACGAAATGAAATGAAATGAAATGGGGTTTAACGTCCTACTACTGTTCTGCTCCTATTCTGGGCTAATGAAGACGGGCATACGCCATACAGTGTGCTATGAGGGAAATTTGCCCGGGCAGCGGCACTATCGCCTACTCTTATATAGAATTACAACTGCCAAGGGATCTTTTACGTGCATTCCAATGTATACACGGGACCTCGGTTTTTCGTCTCATCTGAAGGACTAGACAGCTGTCCTTGTCAGGCCCTCCGTCCTGCATCACTGACAAGGGGGAACCACGCCGGAAAATCTGGATGAACTTTCTCGGCCAATGCAGGGATCGAACACTTGAATAATGTACGCAAATGTTTTGTGGACTTTCATACAATCAATTGAATGTTAAAAGTATTCAAGTCATGTGTTTCATGAATATTGTTAGTTTCCCTCTGATATTTAAAGCCTTTTTATAATAAAGTTTTTCAGTACCAAATTAAGCAATGTGGCCATTTGTCACAAACACATATTATGTGAAATACACATTGTTGCCATATGGTTACATGCCCAAATTTAGTCAAAAATGCAAATTTTTGAAATGTTCAACCAAAAATGTAATGTATTACTCCCAAACGTTACTCTATACAAAGGACATAATTTTCCTACCACTATTTCAACAAGTGACACAAAGAGGGTTAAATTAATGGGACTTTTTATCATGTAAATCACATTTGCAAGTAATACCATTGAAAAAGGAGTGCTTGATTAATCCCATTCTATTTTGGTAATTTGTTAATCCCCTCACTACTAATGGATTATCTACTTTATCAACCTAACACCAATGTTTTCCTTGGTGACACGTGACATGGAATATATGTATATAAGTTAACATTGAGTCTATCTTTAACATTCACTTTCTGTCTTCTCAGTTAACACTTTAAACTTCCAACATGAGAGAAATCGTCCATATGCAAACTGGCCAATGTGGCAACCAGATTGGAGCTAAGGTAAGTTTAATATGCGATAGCCTTTCAAAGTAAATTGTTTATAATATATGTTTCCTTTCTGGTCAACGCTAGGCTGCCACCATATCAGTTGTCCGAGTCGCTTAACCAGTGAGTCACGGTGGTTAAGTGGGTAGGACGCTACACTGGGTGTCGGGTGTTCGATCCCTGCATTGTTCTAGAAAGTTCATCTGGATTTTCTGACGTTGTTTCCCCTTGTGAGTGGTGCATGGGGGAGGGCCTGACAAAGACAGCTATCTAGTCGTTCGGGTGGGACGAAAAAACGAGTTCCCGTGTATACATTGGCGTGCACGTTCAAGATGCCTTGGCAATTGGAATTCGATATAAGAGTAGGCCATAGTGTCGTTGCCCAGGCAAAATTGCCCTCATAGCACACTTTATGGCGTATGCCCCTCTTCATTATCCCAGTAGGAGCAGAACAGTAGGACATTAAACCCCATTTCATTTCATTTCGTTTAACCATAGCGTGATCTGCACAGCTATTCTATATCCACTGTAATAGCCGATAACATATATCGGAACTGATATTTACTTAAATACGAAACTCTAACACTATGGCGTTTTATCTTTCAGTTCTGGGAAGTAATCTCTGATGAACATGGTATCGACCCAACTGGAACTTATCACGGTGATTCTGATCTTCAGTTGGAGAGAATCAACGTTTATTATAATGAAGCTACAGGAGGAAAGTATGTACCCAGAGCTGTTCTCGTCGATTTGGAACCCGGTACCATGGATTCTGTACGATCAGGACCTTTTGGTCAAATCTTCCGTCCAGATAATTTTGTGTTTGGTCAGAGTGGTGCTGGTAATAACTGGGCTAAAGGTCATTATACAGAAGGTGCCGAGCTGGTTGATTCTGTTCTAGATGTGGTCCGTAAAGAAGCTGAAAGCTGTGACTGTCTACAGGGATTCCAGTTGACCCATTCCCTGGGTGGTGGAACTGGGTCTGGTATGGGAACTCTCCTGATCAGTAAAATCCGTGAAGAATATCCAGATAGAATCATGAACACCTTCTCTGTCTGTCCTTCACCTAAGGTAAGGCGATTTTCAAATTTAATTCAATTAAACAGCTTGGCATATCTGTTATGATGTTTTTTATGCCGTTTTTAAAAACCTGCATAGCTTTACCCATGACTGAAGCTCTGTGTATTTTATAGTCCGACATATGTCACTCTTAGGGCTTGAGGAGCGTTGCAGGGCGAAGGGCATGAAAAGGACAGGTGCCTAGTCGTTGGGGTGGGACAAAAATCTAGGTCCCGTGTACACGTAGGATTGCACGTAAAAGATCCCTTGGCAGTTGGAATTCGATATAAGAGTACGGGTCGGACGTTAAACCCCATTTCATTTTCATTTCTTTTTGAGTATGAATGATTTTATCTTGATCAAATGTGCCCTCTTTTTAACCATCTTATTAACTGTTTTTATTTGTATTTATAATTTCAGGTATCAGATACAGTTGTTGAACCGTACAACGCTACTCTCTCAGTTCATCAACTGGTAGAAAATACAGACGAGACCTACTGTATTGATAACGAGGCTCTCTATGATATCTGTTTCCGTACCCTCAAACTGACCACACCTACATACGGTGACCTCAATCATCTGGTGTCAGCCACCATGTCTGGGGTGACCACCTGTCTTCGATTCCCTGGTCAACTGAATGCTGATCTACGTAAACTAGCTGTTAACATGGTACCTTTCCCGCGTCTACATTTCTTTATGCCAGGTTTTGCTCCCCTCACCTCTCGAGGTTCCCAGCAGTACCGAGCTCTCACTGTACCCGAACTCACCCAACAGATGTTTGATGCCAAGAACATGATGGCTGCCTGCGATCCTCGTCATGGTCGTTACCTTACAGTAGCTACCATGTTCAGAGGTCGTATGTCCATGAAGGAGGTGGATGAACAGATGTTGAACGTTCAGAATAAAAACAGCAGCTACTTTGTTGAATGGATTCCCAACAACGTAAAAACAGCTGTCTGTGATATTCCACCAAGAGGTCTGAAGATGTCAGGAACATTTATTGGTAACAGTACAGCTATTCAGGAACTGTTTAAGAGAATATCTGAACAGTTTACAGCTATGTTCAGACGAAAGGCTTTCCTCCATTGGTATACTGGTGAAGGTATGGATGAGATGGAATTTACGGAAGCTGAATCTAACATGAATGATCTGGTATCTGAATATCAACAATACCAGGATGCTACAGCTGAAGAAGAAGGTGAATTTGATGAAGAAGAAGGCGAAGAAGAAACATAAATAGAAGATACGCAAATCTTATAATAGAAATATTTAAATTATTACAGATTATTTTAATCATTGTTATGTTTATTCTGTATTATATGGTGGCTGATTGATATCATGTCGGGGTGTCGTGGTGTCGCCCGTGATGTCGGGTTGTCGGGTTGTCGCCTTATAAAAGGCGACACCACAACATCACAACATGATACCAATCAGCCACCATAGTATTATGTAAATCATGAATAAATAAATTAAAATATAAAAATATTTTTATTTGACTTATGTGGGTGGTTTCAACTTCTCAATGTTAGATTCATGCCATGGCCGTTTTGATTTATATTGTAATAGTTGTCGTCCGGAATAAAGTTAGAAAAATAAGGCCAAGATGAATGTAAATTTGGGAATATTCTTAGACTACAATTGCGGTTGGTTTATAGTTTAATGCAGACGTATTATGCCGCCACGTGGGGTGGGTGGATGGGTGTGGGTACGAGTGCGTGTTAGATATTCTTGTTTTCTGTTTTTTAGGATATCTGACCGGGATTTGGGAACGGAGTTAGCCTATGTAAATCTCCTCTAGATTACACGCTTTCCTCCCAATGCTAATGACCCCTTCGCGCGAGGAAATTATTGATATATGTTAGTCCCGAAATGACCTACTTTGTGTCGAGCGGACATTAAACCCCATTTCTCTCGATCCCATTTTTGGTTAAGAAAGTTCCCCAGGATTATCCGGCATGAGTTTTGCTTGTCAGTGATACAAGAGGAAGGGCCAAACAAAGTACAATGACTAGTCGTTGGGATTGGATGAAACACCGAAATCCTGTGTACACATTGGCGAGCATGTAAAATAACCCTTGGCAGTCGGAGAGGTAATCAGAAGCATAAAATGAGCAAGTTCTAACATTATGCAGGATTGATGGGTTTTATTGCGTAAATGATACATATCTATTTTCATTGATACGGCCTATAATGTTATTATGGGTAACAGTAGCGTTAAACGTTGAACCACTAGCACCTTCGATAGCCAGTTTTAAACAAGAACCAATGGTGATGTAAGGCGGTAAATCCAAGGACGATATATCAGTCGTAAAGCCACCAATTAAACTCTTCCAGTTCTGAAACATAGAATGAAAAACACATAGTAGATACGTATCACTTTACAAGGGTATTAGGCATAGTATGTTCCAGGCATAAATGTGTAATATTTTCCGTCAGAGAGAGAGAGGGAGAGATCGAGGGAGAGAGAGAGAGAGAGAGAGAGAGACAACCTAGTACAAATCATAATATGGCGTATGTCTATCTATTGTATTGACGACTTGACTGAGTTACAAATCTGAGTAATTCTTAAACTCAGAAATTTCACATAACCCGCCCTTCGTTCGTTAAAGGAAACTATGGACTGAGGTACTTCCGACTGAAACCTAAATTTTATTCGCCTGCAATCCCTAAAAGTTCTTAATAGTTACCTGCTGTGCATCAAAAACATCAAATAAGGCCTTGTATAAAATCCATCTATCAAAGTTAACCATGCTGTTTCTTACAGGATTTCCTTTTCTGAACTGTAATAAACCCCATCTGAAACCAAACACGAAATGATCCTTTAGAGGCATTTAGTAACTGGATAGAGCAATAAACTATAAAATGAAATGAAATGAGGTTTAACGGTCGACTTGGCTAATGAAGACAGGCATATACCATACAGTGTGCAATGAGGGAAATTTCTCCCGGGGCAGCGGCACTAGGGGCAGCGGTACAGGGCCTACTCTTATATCGAATTCCAACTGACAAGGTATCTTTTACATGCTTGCCAATGTATACACGGGAACTTGTTTTTTTGTCCCACCCGAACGACTAGACAGCTGTCCTTGACAGGCCCTCCGTCCTACACCACTGCCAAGTGGAAACCACGTCGGAAAATCCCGATGAACTTTCTGGGACAATACCGGGATCGAACCCGCGACCTCCAGACTCACGGGATGCAAAAACTCAGGGAGGCACGAACCCCATGACGCAAAGTGCGCCATTGGGCCACCTTCACTTCGGGTTTAACATCATTGTTCAATAAATATATAACAAGCAAATGTAAACAAACCTGCTAGGAAGATGAAGTGCTACAGCACCCGTAGGTTGCCATGAATACCAACTAGCTTCCGTTCCTGGAACCTATAAAAACGACGGTGCTTAGTAATAATTGACCAGGTAAAAATGACACAAGAATGAGTGGCACATGGGTCTTTTGCAGTGGGATGAAGCCGGAGGACCCGGAGAAAACCCACGAGGTTGGACAGGAGACCACGCCAGTTGACTCAGTGACAGACCTTATGATACAGCGCGCACGAGTTAATCATTCGGCCATCCAATCCCTTCTTTTTAATGTCATATTCAAACAATCTATTTTCTTGGCCACACAACATCTAAAATTATTGTCTGGACCATAAATTCATCTAAAATTATTAGGCTATTGTAGTTCAGAAAATAAACGTTATACTCAAAACGTACCTGTTCATAACGACCATTTGTACTGTTGACTTGTAGTTCATACTCCGTTCTAAAATACAAATAAGGATTTATTGCTCAATATTTGGAGAATTAAACAATCGGGGTGATATCTTGTGTCAGAATCATGTTTCATTGTTTATCACAATTGCGAGTTTCCGACTTGAAAACAGCAACATTTTCCTGTAAATTTGTCCAATTCAGTAATTAAAATCTTTGATTTGTTCGCGCCTGGAGAGCATAACAGAACAAGGGAGCGATATTTTATTCAGACCCATTCATTCCGGGATATGGGAGAGGTCGTGGCGTTGGATTATTTAAACCACTCTAGTGAGCGGGTCGAGAGACAGAGGGCCATTTTATTTTGTGTTCCTATCGACTATAGCTTGTGCTTATATATGTAATATCATAGCTGTTGTGTTATGGATTCATTCTGCTATATGAAACCTATATACAAGAAAATGTTTTCCTGAGTTTTTCGTATTAAAGAACACAACGTAAAGTCATATTAAAGCCCGTGGTGAAGTCCAGTTTAAGACCATGTGAATTGGAACATCATATTACTACAAATTTGGTTTGGTGCCGTTTTGCAGAATATTGTAACACATAGCTGTACTATAGGGTCCGTGTGTTGCTGCACATGCCGATTAGCGGCCGTGGCAAAGAATGTGTAGCAAGATTGCCAAATCTCTGTGGATATTTAGCGTGCTGCAAATGGTCTATACCAATATGATTAAACTACAGATCTATATTTCGTTTCGGTTTTTTTATACTGTTAATGGCCTCTAATCTGACCAGTTGTGATGGGAGGTCGCGTAAGGGGTCGTACCATATGACGTCATAAATTATATGGGACGGTGAGAGGGTATCTCACAATTCAAAAATAGAATTGGCTGTCACTAGATAAGGGACACGAGAAAAAGTAGAAAAATCCCGTGCATTCTCCCGTTTTTATTCATTCTGTTCTTAATAAAAACATGGTAATGCACGGACTTTTTCTAATTTGTTCGTTATCTTTTATCTACTGACAGCCAATTCTTTTTTTGAATTTTCAGATATCCTCTCATCGTCTCATATAACAACTTTTCATCTTCAACGGAATTATCAGTGAAATGAAATTCGATCGTTTGTCTGTTACCGCTCGTTACTTCAGTCAGTTATATAGAAGGACAACTCATGTTTGTCATGTTTGACGTCACTTCCCGTTTCTTCACGTGCTTGTTACACAACTCCCGTAACAATGCTCTCTGTGTTAAAATTATATTTGGGATGTATTTAACGAGTTCTATCACATATTTTATAATGACTGACACCAATATTGTCCTTTAAAAAGCTGTACTTGCCGTGCCATGATCATAAACCATACTTCGTTCTCTACAGCAGGTCCATCTGCTCGTGACGTATTTTGTATGAGATCAGCGAAAGGAAACGCCATTTCTAAAGACCAATAGGTAGCTGAAAGCAGAAATTGTAAGTTAAAGTCATCGATCGTGCATTTTTCAAAAAATGTCTATCTTGTCAAGGCTTAATTCACGCTCAAATGATATTTTTGAAAATAGCCTCTGCCAGAAAGCGCTATTCCACTTATGATCCCCGCCCAGCAACGTCGACCCACCCATCCACGATTACTCACCCTCACGACTAGTGGAAGATGAAAGATGTTTTAAACACATTTGATCAATACCGAGGATGATGACGGATGTTTAAGAATATAGTGTGTGTCAGAAAGGTTAATGCCATATGACAGGGTCAAATTTATTGTAAACATTGGTGGGAGACTCTCTAGATCCGGCGTGGAGTGGGGGGCGGGGGGTCCGAATGGTTAGTATGTGCGCGCTGTATCATAAGGTTTGTCATTGAGTCAACCGGCGTGGGTTCGATTACCTGGTTGTACGTGACAAGGAGTAAGATCGCTTGTTTTATTGAAATAAAAATTGAACCATGTGTTGGTCCCGAAATGACCTAGCTTGTGTCGATTGGACATTACCCCTCTCTCTCTCTCTCTCTCTCTCTCTCTCTCTGTCTGTCCATCATACAGGTAAACCTAGCACTGAGATCTATATAAATACTTACTATTATCACTGGGATAATTAACTACACCATCTGTATAAACACCTTTCTGTGATATACCTTCCCAATCTGTAAAAACACCACCATCTATATACGCCTATATATAAAATAAAACAACACACCATCTATATACGCCTATATACAAAATAAAACAACACTAATACAGATGACATGCTAAACATATTGTATATAATACCTAATATTGAACACACTGCAGGGGTGTGCAGAAAAATGAGCAGGAGGGGGGAGGGGCATGACTGTTCCGGCGTGACTGACTTTCATACCCCGCCCCCCCCCCCCCCCCAAGAAAATTTGAAGTTAATGTCCTTGCATCTGAGGCCATTTCGGAAGGAAATTTACTCTCTCCTGGGTCGCTCTTGCATAGGCCCCACATGAACAGCGTGTGTGTGTGGGAGGGGGGGGGGTCCTGACTCCTTGATCCCCACCCCGAACACACGCCTAAATTAGGTAATCTAGAACTTTTTAATACACTGACAAAAAAAACCCGACCTTTTCTGTGTGTTGTGGGGATTTTATAATTACACTATGATAAATTAAATTCTGTGTTGTAATATACAGGGAATTAAATAGTTACTAACTAGCGCTTTTCACTCAAGTCACATACAGAAGGAACCAAGCTAAATCGGGAACCGGGTGTAACCGCGTTGGGGAGTAAAAATAACATATTTATTAGGCTATATCTTACCCGTGACAACATAAGATCCCAGGTTGTACCAAGTGCATTGATTTCTATTTCTTTATACCTAAAATAAATATGAAATAAATGAAATGGGGTTTAACGTCTTACTGTTCTGCTCCTATACTGGGCTAATGAAGACGGGCATACACCATACAGTGTGCTGTGAGGGAAATTTTGCCCGGGTAGCGGGACTATGGCCTACTCTTATATCGAATTCCAAATGCCAAGGGATCATTTACATATATGTCATTGTATACACGGCATCTCGGTTTTTCGTCCCATCCGAACGATAGACAGCTGTCTTTATCCGACCCTCCGGTCTGCACCACTGACAGTGGAAACCACGTCGGAATATCCCGATGAACGTTCTTTGCCAATGCAGGGATCGAACACCCGAGCCATCGCCTTACATCCTTAGCCACCGTGGTTCCCAATAAACAGGATAAGACAGGTCACAAATAATAACTCCAACAAAAACCAACAGGTACAAAAATGCTGACAAGATAAACCTCCATGGGGGAAGGAGTTGGGGAGTTGGGGACTGAAGGAATGATCCCACGCTATCTTCAAGAACAGAAATTCTACAAAGAGGGCCTCCAAGTTTACAGGACAATTTTGCCCACACAGCAATTGAATTCCAACTGTCAGTGATTCTGTTATGTGTGTGCCAAGGTATATAGGGGACCTAGTTGATGTTGTCCCATCCAAACGACTTGACGCTGTGCCTTGCCAAGCTCAAGTAACCCGGTCCTTCAGGTTAGCGAACGAGGCGGCTACACCATAATGTTTTTAATTATTATTCCCGAAGAAGCACATCTTCTTTCACAAGTTTTGAATTCGTTTTTATGTGGAACGCCAACACAAGCTTTGATGGACCGATCGGTATTGTTTGCAAAGGCATACCAGCCGGGGGGGGGGGGGGGATCTCACTTTCGGGCAGACTGGTAAAATGAAAATGAAAATTATTATCTAGTTGGCAAAATAAATTGCCCGAAATCTAATAAAACGCTAATTTTACTTTTCTTTTAATTAAATACCACGAATTTGTACTGAACTGACTATGGGTTAAAACATTTTGTCTGGAGGCACTCTACTGTGTGCGACATTTTTCGGGCATCGACTATTATTTGTGAATGTAGCGGCAACAGTCTGATTGGATGGTTGGAATTCAGGTCGGCATAGAGTGGTATTTCGGTTGCAAACCGATTGGAAATTTTGAAATTGCCTAATTCACGAGCTACAATAAAAGAAAAACGCATTTGCAGCTGTTAAATTTTCAAAAGTTTCTCGGGGAGCGAGAGGTCCTCATACCCGCGACGATTTGATTTATTGGTAAGTCACCTAAGGTAGACTATGTTGGACCACATTGAAGTTGCTGTATTCACGGACCAGAATAGCAGAAAAACGAGTTTTCGGCAGTTAAATTTTCCAAATTTTCTCTCGACGGCCCCATCTCCGTGGACTGTAAACGATTGATTGGTTGATTGGGATTCAAGTCAGCTGCCTAAATTAAACCACTTTGAAATTGCCGTATTTATGTGCTGGAATAGCAGGTAAACTCGGGACGATTTTATGTATAAATTTATCTGATATTTTTAGATTTATCTTGGTTAGAGAACACCGTTGAAACACCCTTCATAAAAGCCTCTGGTTATTAAAACATTTAAAAGTCGCGTCATATACCGTCTTCTTTATATCATATATTATTATTATTGGCATACTTGTTTACCAAGGAAGTTACTCAAATATCTATTACATGTATATTGTTACACATGTGACGGCGTTAAGGAACATAAACGGTCTGACTATTCATTTTATTCGTGCAAACCAGTGAGGTGTTACGATAGAAATATAAGATGTTAATACAACCGTCTTAATAATACTACAATAGGTCCCCTAAATCACCAATTCAAAATTTTCGTTAAAGGCGGAGGGAAGGGGAAGGTTGAGGGGGGGAGGGGGTCCTACACGGTAAGCTCCACTCCCTCGCCTCTCGTGAGTAATAAGGGTTTTAACATCCTTATATTGTTACTAGCTGTTATAAACAAAATGTTTACCTACATGCTCATACTTTTATCCACATCAAAAAATACCTGCAATGAGAAAAATTAGTAAAATAATACATTTATTGATTTTATAATATGATGCTAGTATTTTAAATATTATAAATCTTATGATAAGAGACCTTTCACGAAGTCCAGGTAGAAGGGAATGGAATGGGGGATATGATGCTAGTATTTTAAATATTTTTAATTTTTTGATAAGATATCTGTTTTACCAAGTCCAGGTAGAATGGAATGGAATGGGGGTTGATTTATATCGTAAACATAATACTTTGGACATGGTAAGGTTTATTTATATGGTTACGCGTCCAATGCCAGCGTGACAAGGGCAGCTGTCTAGTCTTTCGGATGGGACGAAAAACCGAGGTCTCGTGTACACATTGGGGTGCACGTAAAAGGTCCCTTGCTAGTTGGAAATGGAGAGAGAGAAAAAATGGGTTTAACGTCCATTCGACACAAACCAGGTCATTTCGGGACTAACACATGGTTCAATTTTATTTCAATAATTCGCTTGCGCGTAGGGGTCTTTAGCAGTGCAGGAAACCGAGAGACCCGGAGAAAACCCACGAGGTTGGACTGTCGACCCTACTCCTTTTCACGTACTACCAGGGAATAGAAACCACGCCAGTTGACTCAATGACAGACTTTATGATACAGCGCGCACGCGCTAACCATTCGGCCATTTAACCCCGCGAAGAAATGAAGATCAGTGCTGACAATTAAAAATAAATGTTTTTATAGATAAAGGCAACCATACCTCAAAGGCATTTTCTTCATAAACTGAAATCAAACCAGAACATATTTTATTACAAATAAGTACCACCGTCTTATAAACCAGGTGAACCAGGCACTGAGTATGACGTCATGAAAAGTCCGTCAATCTATGCACAATTGTCCAAGGAACAAGTATGCCAAGATTCATGTCGATCGGATATACATTGGTGGGGACTTTTTTCGAAGGGTGTCGCCGTCGGGGCTTAAAATAATTCACTCCCGCAAGGCCTAATTAAGACCTTAAGCACTTAAACGATTTTGTTGCCGCCATATATATAATTCAAAGCATAAACAATATTAAATCATAAACAACTATACGCCATTATTAACTGCGACAAAACAGATAACAGTATAGAAAGACAAAAACAATGAAAAACGGCTTGAAATAAATTTGGCATCTAAGAATGCAGACATTCTGTGGTGCCCCCATTCCCATGATGCACTAAGCACGAGCTTATTTTACTTAATGGTTAATCTAGCACTGCCCGAGAGGATCAATAACACGTTAGCACACTCTTGGGTGTAAACAAATGTAGTCCCAACAAGTAACCTACGAACGGGGTATTCAGTTATACTACAAGAGGCAGATTGAACCATTCCACAAGCGGTTTATTTCTTCTTATCATAAAACTTTTCTAGTATCATTAACAAAAACAACAAATTTAACTCTAAATAACAACAGAAATCGAAACAGAGTCTTAATTTCATCTTTGTTAGATATGTAAAAGTTGCATGTCATATATGTAAAAGTTACACGTTACATGTAAAAGTTACACGTCACATATGTAAACGTTACACGTCACATATGTAAAAGTTACAAGTCACATATGTAAAAGTTACACGTTACATGCAAAAGGTACAAGTCACATATGTATAAGCTTCGCCAACTGATCTAGTCGGTAAATAACCTAATTGAGGGTACAGGGATTTGTTGAATACATTTCAAATCTTATCTGAGTCCCCTTGCCTTGTTTCATCTGATGTCAATGACTTACTTCTGCTATCTTTTTGGTCATATGTTGCCCATACTTTATCTTCCTTTAACCAGGCACCAACATAAACATGTGTATCATCCCATCTTATCTTAACCTGGGTCTCTTCTTTAGGTGCTGGAAATCTCGCACCACGAATATCTAAATAATTGTATAACATCTTCTTTGGTTGGCATTTAGTAATTGAACATATTAATACAGGGTACCATTTATTAGATACACAATTACTGAGTTTAATATTAAGCGACTTTTCGACGAGGATAATGATCATTAAACTCAGTAATTATGTATCCATAAAATCGTACCTTGTGTTGATTGTAAAACATATTAAAGGGCCAATCTCGATTATAGTTTAGAGAATAAAACTGCTTAATTGTGTGTTAAAGCCCTTAAAATTCTCTACCTTAGGTCAATCTCCATCTGTAAATGGAGACCTGTGTCGCAAGCTGTATTATACGGTGTCTGGATAAAACCAGATTTTTATTTTATAAAAATAACGTATGACATTTACCTTTTGTTATCAAGTACTATACGGTGTCTGGATAAAACCAGACTTTTATTTTATAAAAATAACGTGTAAGTGACATTTACCTTTCGTTATCAAGTACATGGGTTATGCACTGTATAGACCTCGAAGGGAATGGCAATATATTATCAGGTCACCCAATAAAAAAATTGAAGCGAAATCTTAAATGGGTTACATGTCCGGATAAGCGGGTTTGGCGTTCACGTCCAAACGACTCAATATTTTGATCTGAAATTTTGAGACAAGGTAAATATTCCATTCCTCTATATTGTGGCCCTTAAATTTCATACGCACAATCGAGGTCCATTATACAATGTTGGTGGGCACGAATGGTTTTAACACATACATTTTACAGTTCCACGGCAGACATCATTTTTGCACGTAAGCTACGAGCCACGAAGTTTCGATCTCGGTGTTGTCGTTCATATAGCCGCTAGTATTTGACGAAAAATCGAGGTACCATCTACAGGTTGGTGTTCGTGTAAAAGAACCCTTTGCATCTGGAATTAGACGACAATTAGACGGAAATACCCTGTCCCTCATTCTAAACTTAGGCTGCCTGTCTACAGTCAGCTCCGCTTGTGAACAGACACTTAGCTAGTTAACTGACGATTTAAGTCCTAAATCGGCCATTTTAGTCGAAAACACCATGTATACTTCGAGAATTTGGAGAAGTATTTATCTCGCATTCATTCAATAAAATTGAAAAGTTTTGTTTGTTCTTTGTGTGTATGACAACGTGAAACGGGGTAGAACCGCATTACAAAATAGTAGTACAAATTTTTGGATATGGCGGCCATTTAGGGCAGAGATGTATTCTCGAAGTATGAAGTAGATGGATCACTGTGTGCAGAATGTGTATCCCCCATAGTATGTATGTGTGTATGTGTCTCTGCATCTTCATTAGCCAGGCTATTTCATAAAACTGGGACGTTAAATACCATTTCATCTACACTCGACGATGCTTAAACCCCGCAACATGCTACAATTTACCATACAAATCCAAATTCATACTTTCTCTGATAAAACTTAACAATAAGTAGATTCTTACACACCAAGAGTCGGTTCATGAATTTGAGCAGCCGGGAGGTCCAAGGTGGAGAAATGAAATCAAATGGGGTTTAACGTCCTACTGTTCTGCTCCTACTGGGCTAATGAAGATGAGGGGACTTTTGTCCGGGCAGCCTATGGCCTACTCTTATATCGAATTCCAACTGCCAAGAGATATTTTACGTGCACGCCAATGTATACACTGATCCTCGGTTTTTCTTCCCATCCGAACGACTAGAACTGACATTCTAACTCACCTAGGAAATCCTGTGTGTGATCGACCTCTAGCCACGCCTCCTCATCCAGTTTACCGTCTACCGTTATGTTCTTGCCATTTAAATAATAGGCTACGTACCCTCGAGGCTGGGGTACCTTACATGATTTAGCTTCTTCTATTCGCTGTACAAACTGATCCTGATAACTGTAATAAAGCAAAATAATTCAAACCTAAGAATTAAAATTAAATTAGATGAAATGGGTTTAAACGTCATAGTTTTCTGCACCGACTGGGCTAATAGATACGGACATACACCATGCAATGTACCATGGGAAACATTTAGCCCAGACAGCGGTGCAACAACCTGGTCTTTGTTAGATTTCCAATTGCAAATTTAAACACGGGACCTCAAAGTCAAAGGAACGTTCTTAAACAACCCTGACGACAGTTTGTCTGCTGTAGATTGTCTAGCGGAATGACTGGCTGTAGTTCATTAGTTAATGATTCATATCCTTCGATAAAAGATGACAATAGTTGGATATTTGACATACGGACTGTGGGAATGGGACTATCAGTGATTTTCTCTCTCATTGCGTTTTCTGAAACCTTCGTTCGCAAAATGGCCCAAAGAATGATGTAGATTGCCAAGCACGGTTTGATATACAAGTATTTGGTCTGTGCATTGTGGGAATGACACTAGACATTTATTTCTCTCGCCGTTTTTCTGAAACCTTTAATAAAATTATGCTGCAGACCAAGTAGGTTACCAATCAAGTTTTGAATCACATGTACTAGTCTCTGTATAAATTTGTCTGGATTTGCTGTAGGTCATAAACTTTCATTTATATTCTGTGTTGATGACTATCCAACTATTGCCCCCTTTGCAGTCACAGCACCCACAGCAGCCCATTCCTTCTGAATGATTCTTATAAGTTTCTGATTGGATTGATGTTGGTATCCAATTAGGTGGTGGAACTCGTTTGTCTAGTAGCCACGCAAGGTGCAAAAATTGCAATACCAAATACCCATTGAGTCAACCCCCGTCATAGGCGTACGAGCCAGGGGGCAGGGCATGGGGGAGGAGGCAAGGCAGGAGGGAGGCTGCCCCATAACTTTCGGGCAATCTGACTTTTCGGGCAGACGGGTAAAGTGAAAATAAAATTATTATTTCTTCTAGTTGGCAAAATAAAGTGCCCGAAATCTAATAAAACACTAATTTTACTTTTCTTTTAATTGAATACCACGATTTTGTACAGGATTAACTATGGATTAAAACATATCGTCGGAAGCCACTCTACTTTGTGCGACATTTTTCGGGCATCGATTATTACTTATGCAGCTGCAACAGTGGGATTGGATGGTTGGAATTCAGGTCGGCATAGAGTGGGATTTCGGTTACAACGGTTACAAAACCATTAGAGAAGTTAGAGTTGCTTAGAAGCAGAACAAAGCATTTGCGATTGTTAAATTTTCAGAGTTTTCTCCGGGAGGGCGAGGCTCCCATACCCCGAGACAATTGATTGGTTGTTGGGGATTCAGGTCAGCCACCAAACGTAGGCTATATTGGACCACATTGAAGTTGCTGTATTCACAGATTGGAATTTTCTCCCAACGGTACCGTCTCCGTGGACTGTAAATGATTGATTGGTTGATTGGAATTCGCGTCGGCCATCTTTATTAGGCTATATTAGACCACTTTGAAGTTGCTGTACTAAGAGGCTGGCTATGTCTTAAAACCTGCCTGGAAACCTTCACCTACTTTATCGGGCCTTCATTCAAAGTGTATCTGATAGTCCTTTGTCTTGAATGAGACGTTTAGCATATTCATTTCTGTACATATAATTCCTGGAGACATGGACCTTTGTTTTTCACCAAAGCACCAGCTTTGTCTCAAAACAAGATTTCCCCCAATATTTCAAATTTTTATAACGTACTTCCGACAGTCTTTGATTTCGTCCGGGGCCTTATTTACCAATATAAAATATTTCAAAGATCCGACATTTTCATTGCTTCTATTACCGCCAGGGAGCCAGTGGAGTTCTTGGGTTCCATCCCGGTTTTAGCTGAGAAAGGTCCTTGGGATTCTCAAGCTTCCTGTACCTTTATCAGTGATTCTGGGTGGACGGCTTGGCAAAGAAAGCACAGTCGTTCGGATGGGACGTAAACCCTTGGACCCGTGTACACGTTGACATGCATATATAAACGAACCCACGAGAGTTGGAAACCCCAATGTCCCGGCAAAATTTCCCTCATAGCACAGTTAGCCCGTTTGTTTCAGAAAGGTAGGAAGTTAATCACATTTTATTGCATTGCAATAATAGCCAAACTACGGGTATAACCCCATATACCAACCTTTCAAATCAAAGTCAAGGACAGCTGTCTAGTCATTCGGATGGAACGCAAAACATGACTGATCAAGACTATGGCAAAACACAAGCTCTCACACGTAATAACCCGATATACCAGTCGTTCAAATCTAAGTCCGGATGGAACGGAAACATGACCGATCAAGACTATGGCAAAACACAAGCTCGCTCACGTAAAAAGCCAATACCCCAACCTTTCAAATCTAGGCCAAGGCAGCTGTCTAGTCATTCGGATGAAACGAAAACATGACTGATCAAGACTATGGCAAAACACAAGCCTACTCAGGTAATAAGCCCATACATCAATCTCGGGTGGAACGACAACAGAAGATTAATCAGATCAAGGAGTACGGTAAGACGCAGGCTCTTTCAGGTAATAACCCCATATACCAACCTTTCAAATCTAGGTACAGATAGAGAGAGAAAGAGAAATGGGGCTTAACGTCCACTCGACACAAACTAGGTCATTTCGGGACTAAAATCTATAGGTAGACGTTATCATTCAGGATGTACATAAAACACGAAACGTCCAACGATATATAATTTAACAACTTTTTTTTGTTTTTCTACCTGACCGTCTTCATTAGCCCAGGTTAGGAGCAGAAAAGTAGGACGTTAAACTCCATTTCATTTCATTTCATTTCTACCTGGGGTTTGGATGTCTGAATGGTTAGCGCGTGAGCGTTGTATCATAAGGTATGTCATTGAATCAACTGGCGTGGTGTTGATTCCCCGCGTTGTATGCGACAAACAGTAGGTCGTCCGTCCAACCTCGTGGCTTTTCTCCGGGTCCCTCCGGGTTCCCCCCACTGCTAAAGACCCCTACGCGCTAGCGAATTATTGAAATAAAATTTGTTAGTCTCAAAATGACCTAGTTTGTGTCGAGTGGTTGTCAAGCCCCATTTCTCCCTCTCTCTGTATTTTTACCTGCTATTATTTATACTCCGTTGTCATGGTAATCTTATATACAACTGTATGGCTGATGTATAATTATTTAATTATTTATTTATTTATATGCATAAGATCACCCTATGGGCAGATAGATCATCATTTGATGTATAGAGAAGTGGTTGATTTGTTTTGTTTTAACTTTTTAGAGAGAGAGAGAGAGAGAGAGAGAGAGAGAGAGAGAGCCTTGAACCAGTCAACCACAATGCCGGAGTAGAACTACAGCCATACGACAAAATAAACAAGGATATCTTAAACTAGACATGATTTGTTGACTTACCTTTGTAGTAAAGGTGACGATTGTTTTGGCCATGTAGCGGCCGGTTCGTCTTGACTTGGTGGATCCGGGTGAGCAAAATATCCAACAACGACTCCGATACCAAAACATATTGCACAGGCTAATAGACCTCCAAATATAACACAGCGACCCGAATACTGCATTATTATTCAATTATCTTAACACGTTGATCTAATAATCGATTATATAAAAACCCACTTCCTCGTTCTAATTTAATTTATACTTTTTACAAAGTTACGTGATCGGAACCACAAATAAAGCTTCAATCATAAAACATCTTGCTGGGAAATAACTGTTACAACTAGACTTGTATAACGCCCTTTTTAACACAATGATCACCACAAATAATTTAAATATATCTGAACACGAAACCTGTTCTCTAAAATCCTTAAAATGTTCTTTACAGTGGATTAATCCGGGTCAAGCTACCTTTAAAACAAACATTCCCGAGTAGAAGTTGGAGAAAATAGATAAACCAGGCTCTTTTCTCCTATTATACTTATATTTATTTACAACCGAGTCGCCATTATTATCTACACAACGTACACATCTATATGTGAACTATATAGCAATAATGGCCAGTGGCGTACAAAGAGAAGGGGCAGAGGGGTCAAAGGACACGGAGAGAGAAAGAGAATGGGGTTTAACGTCCACTCGACATAAACTAGGTCATTTCGGGAATAACATATGGTTCAATTTTATTTCATTAATTCGCTTGCGCGTAGGAGTCTTTAGCAGTGGGAGGAAACTGGAGAAAACCCAGAGGTTAGACAGGCGACCCTACTCCTTGTCACGTACAACCGGGGAATCGAAACCACGCGAGTTAACTCATGACAGAACTTATGACACAGCGCGCACACGCTAACCACTCCCACCCCCCAACAAAGTTTATTATGTAACTTTATACATGTATATTCTAAATGTCTTCCACTTTCACATTTATAATATTAGGCGCTATGCTAGAATCTCGGGGACATACACTCAAGGAATTGACCCCAGGCACCACCAAATCTCTGTACATTAACAAATAGACGGTGGTGTTTGACGTTTGATGTTGATCCGCCATTCACATCCCTGACAGAAAGAAATAAAAAGAAAATAAAAAAAAAATATGACAAGATAGGCGCTCCATAAAGCGAATGAAACGTCTATATAATAAAATATACTACTATTCATTCAACAGGGCAATTCAAATGACATGACACGTTTATACGATGTATATTATTATTCATTCAAATGGGAAATTAAAATGATATGACATCGGGTTTAAAGCGAAAATTTCATATTTTCTAAGAAAGTCAAAACATAATTATTTCTATGTCTTTTGCTCAATATGTTATCAGTTCACTATTATACGGTCATAGGCATTATTTCCCATACTTAAAAATCATTGATACAGGAAATAATAACACAATTACCTCCCTTGTTTTCCTATTACCCCCCATGGAATAGCTATCTTTAAACGTTTGAATTTGAAGTTGAAAATGATATTTTTGCCAATTTCTCAACTGGCAATAGTGAATTATTATTCTTTAACAAGGTAGGACTGTTTATAGATGCCATCTATTATAAGGCTTTATTTTAATAAATTTTAAAAATATGAAATTTTAACTTTAATGTACTTTTTTGCACCAACCAGGCCATTGAAGACGGGCGATTTTGCCCAGACAGCGGTTTTCCGTTTATGAATTCCAACCACCACGCTGAAAGATCCAGGACATGGCTAGTTTACACAGGACAGGGCAACGTTGTTTTCACAGAGACTGGTTGGTTTTACACAAGACTGGAAGTGGTTGTTTTCACAGAAGACTGGGTGGGGGTAGTTTTAAACAAGACTGGATGTAGTTGTTTTTACACAAGACTGGGCGTGGTTAGTTTTACACAAGACTGGATGTGGGTGTTTTTACACAAGACTGGACGTGGTTGACTTTACAAAAGACTGGACGTGGTTGGTGTTACACAAGACCTTGGCGTGTTTGTTTTTACAAAAGGCTGGATGTGGATGGTTTTACACAAAGCTTGGCTTAGTTGGTTTTACACAAGACCTGGCTTAATTGGGGTTGCTTTAATTGGGCGTGGTTTGTTTTTATACATCAATAACAATGTTACTAGTTTAAACTATGAATCAGATCCTTGTTCGTCACAAACTCAATACCGGATATTTGACTCCAGGTAATTAGGTTTGATTGCCACTCCGTAAAAATGTCATACCCCGATAAGATAAAATAATAACAGGCGAAAACACGGGATTACTTGTGTAGTAAGGGGATGGGATCCAACCTGTGCTCCATTTTTAGCCGTTTGTAGGCCATTGGCAGCATGGTCAAGAACTCGCCGCGAAATGCGGGATTAGGAAATATTTATGTCCTTAATAAGCAAGACGAAAATGTACAGAAATAGATGCATATTAGCATCAATCAGAAGGTGTTCCGTGGCGCCTAATCATACCCTGTCTCGTATTTCACGCCGGTTAATGCTCTTTTCGTGTCATATTTCGTCAACCTGCAGGTTTAAAAGAAAAAAAAAACCCAAAAAAACGATCCCATGTTTTCCATTGGTTTCAGCTTCTTCCCCAGTGTTGGCCAGGAAACTTCCTCCGGATTTTCCAGCGTGGGTTCCCATGTACCCATTACAATGTCCGCGAAAACCCTCGAATGTTGTAATTTGTCAAAGAGTAGGTATAAAGCCCGTGTCCGGGTAAACGTCCCCTCATGGCGTATGTTCATCTTCATTAGCCCGGTTGGTACAGAAAACCAGGACGTTAAACCCCATTTCAGTTCATTTCCATTCCATTCCATTCAATTTATTTCAATTCATTTCAATTCATTTATAACTCACAGCTAAGAATCTTTTTTCCTTTAAATGTCCTGAGTATTATTTATATCGTTGTTATATTGTCCTTATATAGCGGCAAAATAAAAAAAAACAAAAACAAACAGAAAAAGGAAAATAATTTTAAAAAAGTTCTTCAATGATAAACAATATCTGATACATAATTTATGACATATCTTCAGACATTGTAAACAAATTAATCTTATAAAGGTTAAAATATATATTTATAAAAAAAAACCCCAGAAAAAAGTAATTTTAAAAAAGGTTGTTCAATGATAAGTGTTGTGAACAATATCTATTACATAATTTATTACGTCTCTTCAGACATTGTAAACAAATACCTTTGAAATCTAATCAAGGTCAAGATGTGTATTTATCAAATTGTTTAAATCGTAAACACGTCCTTATTTGCTACGTAAATTCTAATAATTGAAAAAAGTGTTTTTTAGCTATATATACCGGAATATTTGTTTGTGTGCGAGAGAGAGAGAGAGAGAGAGAGAGAGAGGGGGGAGAGAGAGAGATGGGGTTTAACGCCCCCTCGACACACAATAGGTCATTTCGAGACTAACACATGGTTCAATTTTTATTTTAATAATTCGGTTGCGCGTAGGGGTCTTCAGTCGGGGGAGAGGGTGGCACGGCATGACCTAGTGGAAACCCACGACATTAGACAGGCGAAAGTACTCCTTGCCCCTTACACGTGAGTGCTAAACACAACTAATCTTGACCCCATGACCGACCTTATGATCCAAAGCTCGCACATTAGGCCATTCGACCATCGACCCCATGATATTATTAAATAGTTCTGTATAACTACCCAGCTGGAGAGAAAGGTGGGGGTTTAGCGTCCATTCAACACTGACTAGGTCATTTCGTGGCTAACATATGACACATCTTGATTTAAAAAATTGACATGGATTCAGGGGTGGGAGAAAACCGGAGAACTCGGTGAAAACCCACGAGGTTATCCAGGCCACCCCACTCCTTCCCACCCATAAGCCTTATAGATACAATTCATGTTTCATTTCCATTTCATTTGCTATCTAACCCGGGGATCACGGTGGCTAAGTGAATTAAATATGGAAAATTTCCCGTAGAGTGTACCCATTTGTCGTTATTTTTGTGCTGATTACATACAGTTGAATACGATATTCCTCATAAATTACCAAAAATTATTTTTGTGGAAGTCTGGTTATATTAAAGGGAATGGAAGATTAAAATTTTATAACCCAGTTCCTGGCGGGATCTCATTCGACCCAATTCTTGTGTGTTCGTTTCAAACTAGATTAGGAACCTTGAACTTCAGGGGTCGAGAAAACCGGAGAGCTCGGTGAAAACCCACGACGATAGGCAGGCCTTATAGATACAATTCATGTTACTTTCATTTCCACTTCATTTGCTATCTAACCGAAGCCGGGCCAAAGTAGTTGAAATCTTGAGAAAGTGGCGAAGATGAGTTGTTATTTGACCAAAGATAAAGAACCAATACATTACTGATCGTGTCACGAACTAACGAGATTAAAACATGGGTTACAAGTAAACTATCTTTAAAATGTCAAGTGTTTACATTCGACACAATCATGTCTCGGCTACTTGGTTTATACACTCGTTACCTGACGACGTAACTAATGGCGGATCTGCATTTTCTCGGTTTTCTACTTTGTATTCAGTATTGTTCGTTTTTTCCTGTTTTTTTTTTGTGGTAAATGTAACATATGCCCTAACTGTATAGTAAATATAACTCAATGAAATGAAATAGGGTTTAACGTCCTACTGTTTTGCTCCGAGCTGGGCTAATGAAGACGTTATAGTGTGCTATGAGGGAAATTTTGCCTGGACAGCGCAACTACGGCCCACTCTTATATCGAATTCCAACTGTCAAGGCATCTTTTACGTGCACGCCAATGTGTACACGGGACCTCGGGGTTTCGTCCCATCCGAATGACTAGACAACTGTCCTTGTCTGGCCCTCCGTCCTGCATCACTAACAAGGGGGAACCACGCCGGAAAATCTGGATGATCGAACACCCGATCTTCAGGCTAGCGAGCCAGCGCCTTACCCACTTAGCCACAGTGCCCAATTCTGTTGAATACTTTAAATGTTTCTCACTTAACATCGACCATCTAGTTTTAGACTACCTGGGTTTTTTTATTACATTTCACAGATATGGTTAACTGTATAGGTAATGTTTACTTTGACGTGCTTACTTTCATATTTCTTGTAACATATTAGGCTGGTCAAACTAACATTTGACGTAGAACAAATTGCAACAAAAGGTTTTTTGATTTCTATTGACTCATTATGATGTCCTAAGTAAGGAAAAGAAAGTTTACCAAAATCGGAGTCCAAATAAGGACGGGGGCGTGGCCAAATCCAAGATGGCGGCTCTCGATCAAAAATTGCATATATCTCTAAAACTATTGGATTTAGACACCATAAATGTATTGCTGACAGATAGGAAGTCGGTATCAGCGAGTTCAAAAATTGCGACGTTATGTCTCTATGACGTCATGACGTCGCTGCGATGTCACAACGGCATATCAGACGTCGCATTTCTTCCAAAATTAGTCCATTTACACATCTTAACAGCAGAAACGAATGCTGATGCAGAAAAAGAGTACATGCCCATTATGTTGGGTTGATAAAGAAGAACAATGTGTTACTATTACGGAGACGGGGGGGGGGGGGTAAAGTATAACTACTGCTGCATTGCC